TTCGCCAGGTCTCATCCCAGGGACGGGCCTGGGGCGGGGCGGAAGGAATGATCCCGCTGGTCTGCCTGATGCCAAGACCGTTCCCGAAGGGGCGTGCCGCTTGACCCCTCATGGACCTGATCAGATCATCGTAACGAGGCACTGACATGGGCGAAAGGCGCCGAGAACATCCTTCGCGCACTGGAACGCGACGACTTACCGGAAGATCCTGAACAGATTTTCCTGACTAGTTGGGGTGAATGGTGGCCCAAGGAGGTGTACGCGCAGACACTCGACAAGAAGCTGCAGGACAAATGGTGCCTGGATAAAGAGCAGATCGAGCAGGAAGAGGGAATTACGGCTTGATTCGAGACCGAAAGAAGGAATCATGCATTTATAAGAGATCCGCATAACGATAACTCAGGTACGGCGGAGGATACACAATGTATCTGACAAAAGGGGCGTTTTCAGCTCCTGCACGGGCCTTCAGCCGCAGGCAACAATTCCCCTCCTCGCGATGTCGGCGGGTGTCACGAAGCGCTGAACCACGTGCTCCTCCACCTTGATCGTGAATAATCACCACTCAAGCTTCGACATCCTTGACTTGTAACCACCCGACCCACAGCTGCAGCCTGGAGGCTACTGGCGAAGAATACTGAGAACGAGGGTTGTTGCTTCAACATAAAAGGTCAACGTATACACCAGGAATCATCGTCTTATTTCTCATCATCCAACACGATACATGCGCTGTTACCTCCACAAGACACTCTCATATTTTCGGATCCCTTCCTTCCTCAGACGTACATTCACCTCGTTCGCCGGCATGGCTCCCTCAGATACTCTCAGTAAGCATGCGTTTGACAACTCAGGGGATGGTCCTATACGAGTCCCGGGTTTCAACCGTGTCATGTTCGACGAGCAATGTCAGCCCGGCAAAGACGCATACTCCCATCCAGGGCAAAGCGGGCCCTTCAGCCATGGCATCAACGGCTGGTGTGCCCACATCCTGACAGTCCGCGAACGCGCCATGATGCGTCTCATGGACGCCATCACGGATAAGCCGAACTGGCAGGTCAAGATCTTTGACGACGACATCACCAGCAAGTGGTTCGCCGAGGCCAGCGCCATCGACGAGCTCATCAGCCAAAAGGCCTGGGACTGGTGTGTCGAAGAGCTCCGCGACAAGGCGGCCGCGTTCGAGGCCACCGGTGCGGTTCTGGTCTACGACACGGCCAGCCGATGCGTCAAGGGCGACAACGTTGTCAGCGCCGAACTCACGGACGAGCTGAAAGCCGGGGTTGCGCCGCTGCTGAACGTCCCCGAGAAGCAGAAGGACTATCACCCCGGCTCCAACGACCAGGTTCTGAACCTAGTCCACCCTTCTCTCTTTGCGCTACGCTACGGCATCACTCGAGTCCTGAGCCAGGGGGGTCGGGTTGATCTGAATGATCTCCTCGCCTCGACCGGCCTCGGCGAAGTGGCCCCTATCGTTGGCGCCGATCGCAACATTGACGGCAGGTTCTGGTCTAGCTTTTTCCAGTGGCTGCCCAGCGAGGTTGAGTTCAAGGGCGACACTGGGACAGACGTCCAGATCACGTCCTACATCAACAACCTCCACCCGGAGAAGCATAAAGACTTGTACCATACCATCGAGAAGCTCATTGGTCTTTCCGTGCCCTTGTTCAATCAAGCTCTCGTCCGGAGTCACAGCGGCCGCGCTCCGCCGCGGATCCTCACGTACGGCGCCAGCACGGAGCCCGAATTCCCGGATTGGGCGGAATACACGAATCTGGAGGCCCGATCGGTCAACGACGCGGCATTTCCCGAGCTCTGGGAACGCGTGAAGGCCTATCTCTCGCAGCCAGATCGTGCCGACTTTGAAAGGGATCCCGACGAGATTGACGAAGATGACTCGGACGAGGAAGTCAACTGGCCGGCAAATCCAGAAACGGTGCCAGGCACTCTTCTCCTGGCGCGGCTGAAGGCGATCGTCGAGGATGACAGTCATGCGAGTCGCAACGGATACCAGTTCAAGTCAGCCATCTCAGAGGCCCTCACGGCCAAGTGGAAACGCATCCGCCACTTCCCTCACCCCGAGCCTGGCACGAGCACCACGTATGAGCAGTGGAAGCAGGGCTCCAAAAAGCCAATCATCAACTCGAGCAACATTGAGGTGACGACCACCGATACGGAGGAAACCGAGTTCACAAAGCAAAAGCCTTACGATGTCGCTATTGAGAAGGAGTTCAGAGACAGAGGCCTGCAGGTCATTGTTAAGCTGTCTTCCATCGAGCTAACCCCCGAAAAGCCCAACTACGCCGGCGGCAGCTGGCACGTCGAGGGCATGAAGAATGAGCACATTGTAGCGACGGCCATTTACTACTACGACGTCGAGAACGTTACCGAGTCCCGACTGTCGTTCCGCCAAGAGGTGGAAAGCGAAGATAGCGCCATGGACTTCTCCTATGAGCAGGGCGAATTTGAGGGCCTCGAGAAAATCTTTGGCGTGGAAAGCTTTGACTCGTCGGCGGCGGTCCAAGAGCTCGGCAGCGTCTCGACACGCCAGGGCCGCATGCTCGTGTTCCCCAACACGCTGCAGCATGCCGTTGGCTCTTTCGGGTTGGTGGACCGCACCAAGCCGGGGCATCGCAGGTTCATCGTGCTGTGGCTCGTGGATCCTAACGACCGCATCTGCTCGACAAGGAACGTGCCGCCCCAGCAGCACGATTGGTGGGCCGAGAAGAGACTGGCCGAGTACAACTTTAGGGGCCTCCCCCAGGAGATTGTCAATATGGTTGGCGAGGAAGTTTCAGACTACCCGATGAGTCTCAAGAAGGCAAAGGAGCTCCGTTTGGATCTGATGAAAGAGAGGACGCGCATGGTAGAGGCGGTAGAGAACCAATTTGGTTCTTTCAATCTCTGCGAGCATTGAGAATCGGGCATTGCAATGGATCGTCGACGATGTCTGTTTAATTTTACATGATGACTTCTTTCAACCAACCAATCCTCGTTCTCGGATGAATGTCCAACATCCGCAACCCAGATCCGTACTGTACCGTGCCCATTATCGTCCTTAATGCGTATGCCATTTTGAAGGCGACTGATCCGCGAAATTGAGATGCATACCTAGTCGAACGCCATACCAGAGGGTACTCCCAATTGTAAGGAGATTGAGATGAATGCTCATGGCATGGTCTCTCAAAAAGGCCCTGCGAAAAGCTCGCATATCTTCACTCACCTCCCCTGCAGGTATGCCGTTCTTTCTGTCCATCGTCTCTGTGAATCTTCGGTGCTTCCATCGTTATCGAATCGCACGAAGCTTGACCTACCTTGATGAATGCAGCAAATCATTTTCGTCAACCTTTGAGGCCCAAAGACAAGGAAATTGACACATGCCGTGATGCCAGCTAAACTCAAGGGCACAAGATCCTCCGGACTGCTCAAAAGACTTCGAGGGCCCAGGGGATAGGTGATGATTGTGGTGAGGACGAGAACAGATTGCACCCTGAAGTAGATTGGAAAGAGGTGCTTCTGAAGCGTCGTGAACGCAGACCGGGGCAGAGCTTGGTAGCAAACCTTGGTATTGATAAATGACTGGAAAAACTGTGTTCCGAGAAGTGTTGAACATGTAGTAAGGTGGAAGGGACCTAGGAAGTCTGCTTGTGTGGGCTGAGTGACATATTTGGTGAACACGTCCAGGGCCTTGGGGGGAACAATCATGTCGCGTACGGAAGTTGGGCGTACTGGCAACACTCCCTTTGAGCCTCCTTCCTTTGAGACTTTTGAGTACTTGTTATAGTTTCAGAGTACAGTGTGTATCTTTCCATTCCGAAGGCTGTCTAGCCATGGCTTCATTGTGTTCCGAACAGCCTCGGAGCTTTCGGCCATTGAACGAGGCCTCCAGAAGTCCACAGCCAATGGCATAACATCAAGCTGCGCTGCCTGGCGACTGAACTGCCCAGACGGTTTGATGTCAGGACACTACAGCTAAATGGAATGTTCTTTAGGAGCCAAACTTCCGTGAGACATCATTTGCAGCGAGCCGCATCAGTCCTCAGCGCGTTCTCGGAGCTCGAAATTGACACCGACACGATGCGCCAACAAAGCCGTGGGCGGAATTCAGACATGTCGTATGTATTTTCTAGCCCGGTACTTTTTGTCTTACAAGGAAGCAACGAGGAACATTAAGGACAGAAGATAAGGAAATGCAAACCAAAACCAAGCAGACGATTGCGCCCTGATCGATATGCTGCCCGAGCACTTGGCGTGTTGATCGTACAAAGAGACATCATCGACTTGTCCACCAACTAACTTTTGCGCACCACTTGCTTGGGATCAATCAAGCCTGAACAGATTCCCCTTCCACACTTGGAAGATTCGGCTCCTGGGTGAAATGCCGAGGCAGACGGTTCTCGCCATCGGCGTACGGCTTGCCAGCTTCCTCGCGAGCCATGTCATTAACCCATTTTCTATCTCCTCGTAGGCCGGGCTTAACCCCAACCTCGGCCCATTTGGATGCTAGGTAGTACCAACCAAGTGCATTGCCTACCGTGCCGACCTCATCACTGACGCCCGTGGCTGCGGCATGGCTCATCTTCTGATGTAGCTCGTCGTCTGTGAAGAGATCAAGAAGGTAGCCAGCGACAGCTTGCCAGTCACCAGGCTCCACCAGAAAGCCGTTGACCTTGTCTTTTACTTGGAGAGGGATGCCTCCAGCGAGAGTGGCGATGACAGGACGGCCGGCGTGGAGGGCCTCGGACACCTTGACTTCAAAGCCTTCGCGTGTGGAGAGCTGGAGTACAACATGTGCATTGGCCAGCATAGTGTTGAGGAGCTGATCGTTGGGTTCGAGGCGCATGACACTGCAGTCGTGCTTCAAATGAGGGTAGTGCTCCTCGATTTGGGCCATTGTCTGGTCGTAAATCATGCTGGCGTCCGGGTCATCGACCGAGCCATTGCCACACACGACCAGCTGAGGGACTTCAGTTACGCCTTTTTCGTCGCACAAGCGACGGAACTCGGCGTAAGAGTCAATGACTGTCGGGATGCCCTTGGAGGGATCGAACCTGGCACATTGGATAATGTACTTGCGTGCAGGCCACGCAACCTCTGTCATACGCTGGTTGTGACAGGCAGCGTTGTAGATATGGCCGTAGTAACCAGTGTCCCACTCGTTCAACGGCTTGTTGAGGCCGTCTAGCCAGTCAGTGGTGGCGGGGAAGTAAACAACCTTCTCCGATGGAACATTGTGGGGGACAAATTTGGGGATTGGGTGGCTAATGAACATGTCGGCATGTTGGATATTGCTCCAGAGGAAGTCCCAAATGTCAGCTTGCGGCGTGCCATCCTTCGTGGTCAAGTCGTTGCGAATCTGAATATGCGAGCGGTACAACACCGGTCGTTCAGGTGTAATCTTCTTGATCAAAGGGATCAAGCCAGGCATTTGGGGGTCATCAATCTAGGGATCGAGCGTCAGCAACATCGCCAGGTTGTAGCTCCAAGAACAATCGTGGGGAGCGTCCCGCTTGCTCTACCAAAGGCGACGCCTGGCTTCTCCCCACCTGGGTGGCAAGTCGGAGGAGTGGGGTGCGTAGGTTGGGGGAGAGACTCACCATGACAACATCTGCACCACCTTCCTCGGGGGGGCGAAGCGGGCCACCCTCGGACAGCCAATATCGGTTGGCATTGTCGGTGATCCAGTCGATAATGCTCTGCTTCTCATCCCTACTGATTCTCTGGTCGGGGTGGCTGACACCTTGCAAGATGTTGTGAATGTTCTTGGTGATACGGAAGACGCCAGGGCGCGGCTTGGGCACTTTGCAGTTGTGATTAGTGATGGAATCGCGGGGGGGAAGCCAGACACGCGGGACGGTTTGTTGGTGGAAGGAGCAAACATACCATACCACGTCAAATCGACGCCCATCATTCGGGAGAAACGTACGAGAGCGTGACGCATGAGGGCAACACCGCCACCTTGGGGGGTGCTGCTGAAGAAGGCCACCTTGACGTTGTTGGTTCGCAGCTTGGTGGCGTAGTGCATCATGGCATCCCAGGTGGCAGGACCGCATGTATCCTTGTGATTCTGCACCGTGGTGAGGTGGACACGGAATCCGGCATCGGTCTGAACAACACCGCGGAAGCCGACCTGCAGAAGAGGCACCAGAGACGGCCCAAAGTTCATGATACACTTTCGGGCCATCGAGTCCGCTTGCTCGTCAACCCGCTTGACGTCCCAAAAGTTCTGCCCCTTGTGCTCATCGTCGGGACGAGTGACAACCGGGACGATATCAAGCTCGAGCCAGAGACGCGAGCATAGGCTAGGACTCATGTACTTGAGGGTTGTGGGAAGGCCGGCACCGATGAACTTGGAGTAGTTCTCACGCTCGTAGCCTTCGAGGGTCGAAATGACGTAGTCAGCAATGGCATCTTCCCCCATGCGAAGGGCATCGTCAAGCACGACATTCTTGACAGTGAAGTCAACGAGGTAAACGGTATCGTGGACAGCAGTGGCAACGACAGCAGTATGATCATCGGCAAACACAGCCGAAATGCCAACAAAGAGAGTCTTAGTAAAAGTCACCTACGTCAGCAGAGTAATTTCAAGACGGAAGCCGGTACGCAGGTAAGCTGGATGGCAGAGGGGCTCAGTGTGAGGCTGCTGACCGTCAATGCTGGGCCGAAGGTGTTGCCCTGCTCGTGCATGGTGCTCATCTGTCTCTTTCGGTGCACCGAGGTGCCCGTGGAGAACTTGCGGCCCTGTGTGGGCGTCATTGCGGCCAATGCGGGGAAGAGAATGAATCGTGTTTCTGAAAAATAAGTCGTGTCTGAATGCTAGCCGCGAACTTGCAATATCCCAGCAGAGCGATGGATGCCTCAACAAGACCATGGACGTGAAGAGGGCGAGACGAAGAAGCTGGGCAGACAGCGAGGGGAATTGCGGCTTTGCAGTATTAAATGGAAAGAGCTTGGTGTGAGTGCATGGAGAAGGAGGGACGGGATGATCTCGTCTTGGTCCTTTCCCCAGCCAGCCCCGAGGCCTCGTGAGCCACTCGGGCGCCGTAAACCGCCAGTCAATCCTTCCAGCTGCGTTGCGTTACGAGGGCATAAGGTTGGAATCAGGCCCAGGGCGGAGCATAAATCGGAAAGCATGGCCGCGGGCGTGGGCTGTTGTGCCTGCCATATCTCGTGTGGTGCAACGGTACATTGGAGGAAGCTACGGTGGTGACGAGGTGACGAGGTGACGCGGAAGGGCCTTCCTACACCCTCGTTGGCAGGAACGAAGTGGCCAGCCTGCATCCAGGCGGCTCCTTGGGTTTGTACTTGCTGCAAGCGGCCTGGCTGGCGCTGAACCCGGCCTCCTACCAATCAGCCTGCCCCAGTCTTGATGAAGAGCCGTGCTTCCTTCCTTCCGCCGGTGATAGCTGCCCACCCCTTCCTCAACCACTAAGCCTCTGGCGACAGTAGCTGCCCGACCTGCCTCCTTCAACGAGCATGCAGGGTTACGGGAAGTGTCGGTGTGCGAGGCCGTTGTCGTGACCCGTCGCACTCGCCAACTACGACAGATGGCAGAAGGAACTAATTCGGCGCTGGAGTCTCATGGGAGAATCGACCATGCCCCGGGCAACCCGGTTGGTGGCAACATGCAATGCTGCGTGTTCTGAGCCACTTTGACTTGGCTGTGGTCGGACTTCCGAGATCTACAAGGTGTTCTCTGCACGCTTGTACTTTTTGATGTAGTTAAATGGCACGATGCGGGATCTTCTTGCATTATGGCGTCCGTGACGCGAGGAACTGCTATCCTCGAAGTCAAGCTATCTCCCAGCTCGGCGGGGTTGACATGCTCAACGAGCTGGCGGGATGGGTGACAGCTTGCGGGGGGATTTAGTGCTGCCTTTGGCGGGGTACAGCACCTTGGTGTGCTGGGCTCCGCTG